TCCTGCATATGTCCTGGGGGCTCGGCGCTGCCTGGGGGGGGCTCACTGTGTTGAGAAGCTGGCACTGATGGTCCCCCTGCGCTGTCCCAGACTCTACACAGCCCTGTTCCCACCTAAAGTCACCCATGCAGTCACAGCCAAGTCCATACAATGTCCAGAATCACAAGCTCACAGAGCTGCTGTCAGTGAGGGAAGAATCCACTGCTGCCAGAGAAGATCTTTCAATATTTAATGATAGAAGAGTCTCCTGATCAACCTGCTTCTCAGGTTACGAAAGTCCCCATTCGTTCTGCTCCCCATAACAAGATGGGCAGCCTGACTGCTGGTAGTGGCACAGGACCCCATCTCCTGAAAGTTTGAGCTGATCCTTGAGAGACTTCCATAAAGCCAGCACTGCCTCCCCTTCCCACACTGCCAACAGGAGCCAAGACACTCATGAACCAGAGCTTTTGCCTGTTGTCACAGTTACAGCAGCTCAGCTGCATTTAGGAGTGGGATGGCAATTTACTCTTTGTACTCATTTTAGCTGCATGGCCTCCCCCTGCTCCAGGTCTGCCATGGCAGAGGGGATTCCCGCCCCACAGCACTGCCAGCCCCATGAGGCTGCTGAGCCCCCGCTGCACCCTGCAGCTCCTGCTTCTTGTGTCCCTGCTGCTGAGGGCAGAGCCAGACCACCAGGTCCCACCTCCCAGACAAGTGGAGGGCAGAGGGACAACCAGATCCCACCTTCCGGACTGGTGGCTGGTGGCAGGCTGGGGAAGGAGGCAGGCAGAGGAGACTGGAGCGTGGCCGATCACAGCCAGTTCCTCATGCTGCCTGGGAGGAGACCCTGCCCCTGTGACACAGCCCTGCTCCCTCGGCTTGTTCCCGCTCCCCTTGCAGCCTCTCCTTGTCTCCTGCACCAAGGGAGAGCAGGGCAGGAGCCAGGAGCACTGCTGGGCGGCTTTTCCCTCCAGACGTGACCTCTCGGCTGTGGCCCATCCCTGGAACACTCCTCGCTCCCAAAGGCAGCTGCCAGGAGCAGCTCCACCGCCACGTCCCCACCGCACGCATGCCCCTTCCCCAGCTCTCCCAGGAGAGCTCTCAGCTCTACCTCAAATGCCGTGGCCAGGCTCTGGCCCAGCTCCGCAAAGCCCCACTGCAGCCCCGCGCTCTGTGCTGTGCTCCGGGGGCAGGACCAGCTCCTCATGGCTCCCGGGCTCCTGTGGTGCCTCCATCAGGGATCCTCAGCCCACCAGGATGCCTCAGCATCACATGTGCTTCGCCATGCCCTGGGAGATGGGAAGGGGAGCCCAGCCTGCCCCCCCGGGCCCCTCCCCACCCCACAGACCCATACTCTGCTCCTCACTGCCTGCACACACGTGCCTCACCATTTGCATATGCACTCACGCACTCCTGTGCGGAGGCAGCAGTAAGAATTTTTAGCTGGTGGAAATCTCAACAGAATATTCTGTTGTGGGTTGCTTGTGTGTCTGTTTGCATGCACCTCCAGAACACAGTAGTGGTTTAAGTGAACAGTGCAGTACAAAACACAAATAGTATTATTCCTATCATAATACTAACAATATTAAGAATAGTTAGGTGTTTCATGTATATTTAGGTGTTATATTCTGTACAACAGAAAAAAAAATATGGTTATTATCTGAAAAAAGGACCTTGTAATATTCTCTTTTTTGCCCTTTTTTGCTCTCAACCCCTGCTGCCACATACCTTGCAAGTTTGGCGTTGTCAGCAAAACCTTCAGAGAGGGCTACTGTGCAGGTGCAAAATGCACAATAACTTTGTAATGCATTTAAGTGTTAGTATAAAAAGAACTTACAGAAACTTGTTATGTGTTATCTCCATTACCTGCGTGTCACTTTTGAGACAGAATGACAACAGAAGTTCTTAGTGAAGTTTATAAATTTCTAGTGGGGAAAGACCCTACTGTGCCCCAGGCAGGAGCCACCCCTGTCCCCACACTGTCCCCAGGCAAATCCAGCCCCAAGCCTCACCGCCCGCATGCAAGCACTGCACACAGCAGGCACTGCGCCTCAGGCACAGCCCCTCCCGCAGTCCCAAGGTCTCCAGCTCCCGCTCACACTCTCAGAGCACCGGGTCTTGTGCAGCGTCCGCGTCTGCCAGGGCCACAGCATCACTTGGCCAGCCCAGCGGACACTGACCAAGAGTGGTTGCACGTGCTGGGCCAAGGCATGCTCTGGGAGACCTAGACCAAGAGGAGACCAGAGCCCTGCAGAGGTCAGTGCCCAAGTCCTCAGCTCCTCTCCTTACAATCCAAGACTGGCACAAATACACAACAGCTAAAATACCGCCTTGTATGCTAACACAGCAAGATATTTTCCCGCCAGGCCTCGCTATAGGTACAGTCGCAAAGCTAGCTTCATGCTTGACTATGTTTCTCACAGATGTCTGACAGATGTAACCCTTACATCAACACTGAAGGCTTTGAGGATCCCTGTCCATAGACACCAACACAAGAAACAGCAGGTACAGTTCCTGTTTAAATCCAATTTGCTTAAATTCATTGCTCCCTTCATGCTAGCATCCTGACATACACCAGCATCCACAGGCACTCGTTGGTACCAGTACCTGTGCAGTCAAACCCAGCTCTGGAGTTTCCTGCTTCCTTAACCCAGTTTTGGAAGAGTAGGAGAGTGGCAGACTCTCATTTTTCCAGCAGTTCCCCAAAACATCAGGGACAGACCAAATTACAAGCTGAGGCCCAGACACAAGAACACAACCACACAAATCCCATACACAGGACTGTCCAGCACACCCCAAGCCCAGAGAACAGCTCATTACCCATGACAGCCTAAGGTGGAGATGACTTACTACGGAAATTGTGCTTACACACAGACAACAGAGCACACAGAAGATTGGTGGTGCAAAGCCCTGAGGGAAGATATACCCAATTATGCACAGATATACAAGGACCACAAAGAGATAAGTTACAAAAGCAACGTCACACACTACAAAAGCAATGCCATGCCTTCACCAGAAGTCCCTCTGCCTGCCTAAATGCTTCTGGACTAAACTGTAGGTGTCATGGTCCCCATCCTCTCATGCACACTCTGCATGCGTGCACGCTACCGAAACGCTGGGCTCTTGCTCTCCAGCACATACCCCCAACCGAAAACCACAGCCCCTACTTCCCAGCATGTATGTGTTGCTGTAAACCATGGCATCTATCCCCAAGTACATTCAGCTCACTGCAAATCTCAGCTCTTATCCCAAAAATAGCCTCCCACTACAGCCACAGCCCCTGCTCTCCAGTCCATATGCCCCAAAATACATCACAGCCCTTACTCCCCAGCACGGGCACCCCAGTTCTGACCACAGGTCCTGTCGTGATGTGCCAACATCCCAGTGCAAGCCGGGGCCCCTATCCCCCACAGACATCCCACTGCAAGCCACAGCCCCGCTCCCTGAAACACACACCCAACCGCTCAGCTCAGCCCGACTCCCAGGATGGGCACCCAGCCACAAACCGCTGCCCAAATTCCCCAGCACAAACGCACCCGACTGCGCGCCACGGCCCCGCGTCCAGCACACACGCCCCACTGCAAACCACAGCCCCAGCCCGGTGGCACACCGATGCAACCCACAGCCCCTGCTCCCCGGCACCGCGCCCCGCCAGCACCCGCCGCACCCCCCGGCCCCCACCCGCCCGGTTGCGCACAGCCCCCGGCCCCAGCCGGCGAGCCCTCCGCGGTTCCACCTGCCCGCGGGGCCGCTGCAGCCGCCGCTCCCGCCCGCCGCGGCACCGGCCTCGGGTGCAGCCCGCCGGCGGGCAAAGCCCTCCCGCCCTGCCCCGGCGAGCCGCCGGCGCTGCGCCCGGACCCGGGCCCGGACCCCGACCCCGACCCGGACCCGGACCCCGACCCCGACGGCGCCCGGGTGCGATCCCCGGGGCAGCGCAGCCGCCCGCTCCCCCGCGCGGGGCTGGCCCCGCCGCCGCGGGCGTCCGGCTCCGCTCCGCTCCGCGCTCGGCGCTGCCCGCCCCGGCCCCGGCCCCGGCCCGGGCGCCGCTCGTTACCTGCGGGGCGGCGGGCGGCGGGGCCCGAGCCACCATAGCCGCGGCGCGGCCGGGGGCAGCGGCGGCCGCCGGCAGCGGGAGCGGAGCGGAGCGGGGCGGCGGGCGGGGGCGGCGGGGCCGGGGCGGGGAGCGGCGCGCGCGGCGGAGCCTCCGCGAACTCGGCCCCCGCCGCCGGCAGCGGGTGTTAGTTTAAGGAGTTGTCATGGCAACGGGGAGCCGGTGCGCGCGGGAAGGGGCGGGCGGAGGGAAACTTCAGAGGCGGCTGCTCCGGCCCGGGCCCCGGCGCGGGGGGGTGTCTCGGCACCCCCGGCTCTCCGCTGCCCGCCGCCCCGCGCCCCCCGACTCCGCGGCGCCTCGGCCCCCGCCCGGGTTCCCCCCCCCCCGCTCTCCGGTGCCCTCCCGCACCCCCCGCCCGCCGCGCCTAGCCCCGGCCCGCGGGGACGCGCTCGGCCTCGGCTCGGTCTTTCCCCGCCGGCGGTAGCCCCGGGCAGAGCCGGCGGACTGCAGGCGGGGGCAGCGCTGGCACCCCCGCCCCGCGTGGGACACCCCACGGCCGCGCAGGCGGGCCCCGCGCTCCCAGGGCCCGGCTGTGTCGGGGGGATGCCCCGAGAGCAGGGCGGGGCTCCTCACCCTGGGGTCGCGACTCAGCCCACGGCCCAGCCCCACCGACCTGCCTCACGGCGTAGCCTCAACTGTCCCACAGCCAAGACCCGTGGCCCTGCCACGTGCTGCCAGTCCAGCCCCACTGAGCCCCCAGCAAAGCACTGGGGCCAGCCCCCCCTGCTGACCCCAGGGTGAGGTACCAGAACTGCCCCCCCCCCACTCTTGCTGGCCCCGCCGGGGGTCCTGGCTGCCCACCTCAGCGCTGTCCCAGCCAGGTGGCCCCGGCAGGGAGCAGAGGAGCCCCAGCCCCACGCTGCCTGGGAGTGGCCGGGCTCTGGCTGCCCAGTCCCAGTGCCGTTACCTGGCACAGGCTCGTGCGCTCCTGCACAGGCTGCTCTGGCTCCTGGCGCCCGCAGAGCTGGAGCCTACAGGAAAACCGCGTCCACCAGTTCAGCCCCTTTCCGGCCAGGAAGGGGACACCCCTGGTCCCTGCCAGACTACCGCTCCACTCTGCACCCTGCGTCCTGCCACAGCCAGGCTGGGACACGCAGACATCCTGGGTCAGGGCCTGGCCACGGGGTCCCCCGTGCACACACGTGGCTGCATGTGTATGTGTTTGGGGTGCTGTGCATCGTAGGGGGGCTGTGGCATGTACAGCTCTGGGGTCTGTACGCACCCGCGGCGGTCAGGATGTGCCTCCGCATCCTATCTGGGGAGCCAGGAAACACCTTGCCAGAGCAGAGATTCTCCCTTCCTGTGGGAGCACCACGGGCCGGGAGGAAACCCTGCTGCGAGCCTGAGAGCGGAGCACCGGCAGCACTGCCTGCAGCAGTGCCGGATGGACAAACAGAAGGCATCCTGGCACAGTTTGCCCTGGCCAGACACGAGTGGGACAAGCTCCGGCAGGGCCAGAGCAGCCAAGGCAGGGTGCAGGGCTGAGCCAGCAAGCACGGGCTGAGGTCACAGCAGTGCATTACTCCACATCAGTACCCGTGGCATGGCTGTGGCTGGAAGGAGGGACCCTGCCCTGCCTAACTCCATCTGCACACCCAGTGGGGACACTCCCTCCCACCCTGCTACCCAGCCTGGAGTGCCCCCGTACCCACTCTGACTGTCCAGCCTGGCCTGCCCCCATAGCTGCCCCACCTTCCCTCCCCGGCATGCCTGCATACCCCCTCTGGCTGCCCAGCCTGGCATGCCCCTGGCCCCTGCTCCACCCAGCAATGTCCACGCGTGCAGCAGCAGCATGCAGCCACAGCACAGCACGGGGACGTGGGGACGTGTCTGAGTGGGTTCAGCTGGAAGGAGGTCAGATGTGCCTTCAACAGCCCGACTGAGCCACACAGGGACCGATGCCCAGCAGCTGTAGGGCCTCATGTGACAGTTCTCCTGAATGCCATGTCCCCCTCCAGGAACAGGCTCTGGCCTCATCTCAATCAGCAGCTCTGTCCCTGTCTGACAATTGCCACATCTTTGGGCAGAGGGAGTTACCCTGCAGCAGTCATACCTGGCTGCTGGGAGCCACAGGAGGCATGGACCCGTCCAGCTGGCTGCAGGACCTGGAGAGACTCTTCTCCCCATCCACGAGACAGCTTTCCAGTATCCCCTGGGACCTGTGCTGGCCATCGCTCCTACCATCCCTCCTCCACTCTCTGAGGGGAGCTGCAGCCACCAAGGGGTATCTTTCTGCTGCATTCCAGGTCAGTGTTGCCACCTCAGAGGCTTGGAAACAGTGTCCAGGCTCTGTGCCTTTGACCTGGTTTTGATCATGAGATGTTTAGTTGCAATTCTTTGGATATTTTTTAGCTCATGGAGGCAAACTTCCCGGATTTCCTTCACAAGCCTGAAGAGCCGAGAACGCACTGTTCCCATAAAGCTGACATGTTCCCCCAGTCCCATGACTCCAAGCATTTTTGAGTACTGCAGTGCTCACACCAGCAGTTCAGAGCTGGTGCTGTGACAGTGTCTGCAGCCCCACGGTGTTAGGAACAAGTCCCAGCTGCACAGGAGGGAAACAGGTCCTGGAGTCATAGGAATGGGACCAGACCCTAGACACAGGGGCGTGGGATGGGTACTGGGCTCACAGCCCTAAGAACCCCTCCTTGGCAAAACTACATGTGACCAGGTCCTGGTTGGAGGTCAAGCAAGCAGATCCTGGCTACACGGCAGAGGAAGCAATTAAACTGTGAGTGATGGGGCTCAGCAAGGCAGGGTAGGACAGACCCTCTTCCTTTTGGGCAGCAGCCCCAGGGAGGGCAGAGTGGGAGACCCTTTCCCAGGTGTCCCTGAGCTGTGGTGGGGCAGCCCACTCCCGAGCTCCTTTGCATCACAGCCCAGGCACAGGTCAGCTCAATACGAGCAACATCTGATGTATTGAATGTGGCAGCTCCCCTTGAGACCAACCAAGTGTGAAATAGAGCTGGTATGAGCTGGGAGAAGAGACATTGCTCAGGGGAGAACAGCCAAAAGTGTGTTCAGCTTATGGGATCTCTGCAGCAGCCAGCACATACAGTGCGGACAACGAGGAACCCCCATGCCAATGTCTGTACATGCAGCTGACCCACAACATGCACAGATGAAGGAGGTGAGCACCTCCGAGCCAGGGCAAGCCCAAGGAATGGGAAGCCATCCCTCCTTCTGCACCTTAGGGAAGTCCCAGCACAGTCCTGTGGAGTGGGCCCATGCTTGTGTCCACGCAGAGAAGAGAAGCTTATGAACACAACCCTGAACAACCACGGTCCATGCCAGTCCTGGCTGAGCCTCAGCCTCCATAGGGACACATACATATGGCACCACATGTGCAAGCACATAAGGCAGGTCAGTCCATGCAGTTCAGGAGCTTGAACCAACACACAGGGATGCTCTGGCCTGATGAAGTGGGAGTCCCAGATGGGGGGCTCTGCAATGGGGCAGGTTGATGGCAGTGCATACACTCCTAGGGAATACAGGCACACCAGCCCCAGGGAGCAGGCACCAGGCTCAACAGGGCTGGGGGGGCTCCTCATCTTGGGCTGTCATGGGGCAGACACTGCAGACAAGTGATGCACCTTGGAGCACAGGGCCTCTGTGTGCAGAACAACTCGCTTCCTGCGTTGCTGTCTCCAAAGGTCAGAGAACAAGTGCAATGCAAATGCTGGCGAGTGGGAAGCAGCAGGAAGCTGTGTCTCCCAGACAGGAGTGTGGAGCCAGGCGGAGGCAGGGCCCATCTGGTTCCTCCAGTCTGGCAGCCAGGAGGGTACTAGAGACCACACAAGAGACCCAGGGGAGGCAGGGGAAGGGGGCAGACGTGGTGGGCAGCTGGAGGACCAGAGAGCCAGGCGGACCTTGGGGGCTGCAGCAGGGATCCAGGTGTCTCAGCTTCCTGCCCACCATTGCAGGCATGGCTGCTGTGGGGATGCTACACAATGCCCAAGGTACAGGTATCTCTGAATCTCACACTCAGTGCATGAGCTGTGCTGTATCTGGAGCAGGAAACTGCTTTCCCACATCCAGACTTCTGTAAGTGCAGTTTGCTGAGATCCTGCAGGCCCTGACAAGGGTAAGTAACGGGGCAGCAGGGCCCAGTATCAGAGGGACAGCTCAGCTCCCCCCTCCTCCTTTGAGCCTCCCTACCTCACACTTGATCTTCCCATCACTAATTGGCCCAAGGCACAGCATGAGATGGCAGGGAGGTGAGAGGTTGGCTGAAGGCCCCTCTGTTGCTGCCCTTTGGAGGGAAGGTTGTGGTAGCAGAAGCTGGTCCCATGCTCTGGTGCACTGCACATTGGAAGAGGTTTGTGCACAAAATCAGAGGGGCTGGGCTGGAGCCAGCTGGGGTCAGAGCCTGGCTGGCAGTTGCCACGGGGCCAGCAGCATGCCCAGCACTCCCGGCAGCACAGAGGGGATCATGCCCAGCCATGCCAGCTCCTTCAGCCCCCATCCAAGTCCAGTCTCCAGAAGGCCAGGACACATGCAGGGAACTGCTTGGGCAGCTCTGGAAGAGGCTTTCTCTCTGTCATTGGTTAGAGTGAAAAGATGGCTGTGGCTGCCCCCTCCCAGAAAGTGTTAAAGACTAGGTTGGACAGGGCTTTGAGCAACCTGGTCTAGTGGAACTAGTGTCCCTGCCCATGACAGGGGGGTTGGACTAGATGAGCGTTAAAGGTTCCTTCCAACCCAAACCATTCTATGATTCTGTGTGCCAGCAAAATGCTTCTCTTGCCATACAGTGACACCACTTCTCCCAAGGCACTCCGAGTGCTTAGGGACTGGCTCCAAGGAGAGGAGCAATTGGCTCCAGCTGAGCACAGGCAAGGACAGGACTAATGTGTTGGGCAGAGTGTGCCGACTAGCCTGTGCATTGGACAGATTCCAGCTGTGGGCTCACCACTGCTCTCTGCAGCCCTTGGTGAGGGTAATTCCTACTGAACTCCATGCTCAGAGCTTCGTTAGTCATGCTGTTGAAAGCTCTGGCTGGAGATGATGCATCACCCTCTACCCCTGATGATACAAAAACATCGCAGTATGACTCCTCAGTAGCACTGGCTACCTCAAGCAAAGCCTCAGGTCTCTGCTGGGCTCCAAGTCCCACAGACCGGTGAGCCAAGTTCAAGGTCTGGGTCCTTATCTGCAGGGTGCACCACGGCCCCATCCAGCACAAGGAGCCTGAAGTTCTGGGCTCTGGCCATGGCTGATGCCTTGCTCCTTGGGCACAGTGACACTGTCCCCAGCCAGGGTGAGCTGTGTCAGTTTAGGGACAGCCTGCTGAGAGCTCGCCAGGCCCCCTCCTAGCCTATCTCCTGCTCCGAACACCGCCACTCCTTGCTGGGCCAGCTCTGTGACCATGGGTACTGAGCAGCCCAGACACTGACAGAAGGCATACAGCACTTATCCCCCACATTGCCTTTCCAAAGGTGAGTGCCCAGCGGCACTCTGAAGAGTAGCTCTAAAAGGTGGACAAATGCAGGACGAGGTCTTGTGTTTTCCAACTCTAGATGGTAGCAGAAGGTGCAGCTGCCTCTTTTCCCTGAGCTCATGTTGTAGGAGCAGCTGCTGTGGGACTCTGAAATGTCAGATCTCCCTAGCTGACACAGACAAGCCTTGGGCTCTGCCCGCAGCAGCCTCTGAGCATGCCGTTAAGGGCACCCCATGCTCAGCCCTCTGCTTCCTGCAGCAGAGGCTTTGATGACTGCATGTATCCCACTGTGCATCTGCCTGATTCGGGCTGTAATCTACCTGTGCAGACAGCACAGGCATATGGTGAGAGGGAAGGAGGTGGCAGTGCTAGACCACTGGTTGCAGCCCATGCATTCTCAAAAACTATGTCATGCAGCACTACTGCATCATAGTCACATATAAGGCATCTCCTTATCTTACCACGTTTCTTGACTTTGCCACTTGTGTTGTGCTGGGAGGTGGC